ACACTCCGGGGCTCACGCGATCCTCCTGCCTCAGCCTCCCGAGTAGCTGGGACTACAGGCACGCGCCACCATGCCCGGTTAATTTTTTCTATATATTTTTAGTTGTCCGATTAATTTCTTTCTGTTTTTAGTAGAGACGGGTTCTCGCTCTTGCTCAGGCTGGTCTCGAACTCCTGAGCTCAAACAATCCGCCAGTCTCGGCCTCCCAAAGTGCTAGGATTACAGGCGTGAGCCGCCGCGCCCGGCCCAGATAAATGATATTTTAATGTAACATTTCTTAAAATCAAAATTAATGTGAAAATCCACAGTGAAGACAATATCAAACTTTTAAATAAATACAGGATCCGAATTGCTATTTTTCCCTTTATCCTCAGGGTCCAACCGAGCTCTGCGTAGCACTGTGAATGACCCTGGTCATTGTCAGGGCCCGGCTCAACGTCAGTCCTGCATGTGGCTTCACCTCTGTCCCTGTCCACTCTCCTCCCGGGTCCCTCTCCACGGTGTGCTGGGATCACCCACCGCTCAAGACCAGCTACTTTCCCTAAGTTCCTGCCTCAGGCTTTGCTTTGTTACCGGGGTGGGGGTGGAGGATGAAGCCCAAGCTACACAAGATAATGACCACAACATGTCACTCAAAGGAGGACACACTTGAAAGTGTTGGCAGGCTCTGTGAGCAATGTCACTGGAGTAACAGGCTCGAGTCAGAGCTTTCCTGGCACATCAGGACATGTGGTCTTATTACAGGCGGTGAGCTCTTCGCCTGTCAATTGCATCTGCTCAGGACCCCGGACTTAGGCTGCAGCCCCAGCCGGCTCCACCGCGGCAGCCGGACCTTAGGTCTGGGCGCTGAGGGACAGACAGCAGGATGGCTGTGGCCGTGGGGGAGGCGTGTTCCCGCAGATCTGAGCGTGTTCTCCTCCCTCTCCCCATCCCCTTCTCTCCCCTCCCCCTCCCTCTTCTTTCCTCCCTCCCCAGGACATCTGCAAAGCTGGTGGAGATAGGCATTGTCCCTGCTGGGCTGCTGGTCAATCCTCCATCACAAATATTCTCTTCTTCTTCCTCTCTCCCCTCCCCCTCCCTTTCTCCCTCTTCTCTCCCCTCCCCCTTCCTTTCTCCCTCTTCTCTCCCCTCCCCCTCCCTTTCTCCCTCTTCCTCTCTCCCCCTCCCTTTCTCTCTCTCTCTTTTTAAAGAGACAGGGTTCTCACTCTGTCTCACAGGCTGGTCTCTGACCTCTGGCCTCAAGCAAACCTCCTGCCTCAGTCTCCCAAGGCGCCGGGTCTCCATGCTTAAACCACCCAAGCTCTGTCCTGACCTTTTCCTTAGTACTGCTGCCGCCCAGCGTGGGTCCAGCGTGCTGTTGTCTTGGTGATTTTGTCCAGCCTCGCGGTGTGAAATACCACCTCTGTTGACAGCTCTCAAATACGTGTTTCCAGTCTAGATCTTTCTCTTGCTCTCCAGACCTAGGTATTCAGCCGCCCGTGTGGCAGCTCCATCGAGATGTCTGATGGACTTTTCAACTCCAGCCCGTTCAAAACCAGGCTGCTGCTGCTCCGTCTTCCCCGGGTCTCGGTGTATTTTCCATCCCCGTTAATGGCACCTCCATCCTCCAGACCCGGAATCTTCGAGTCATTCACGCTGCCTCTTGGCGTCCTCTTAGCATGTCCTCTTGGCTCCGCTCTTTAAATATGTCTAAAATTTGGCCATTTCTTACCATTTTCACTGCTATCATCCCCTCTCTGTTACTGACCTCTTTCCCCTGTATTGTCGCGTCAGCCTCCTGACCAGCCTCCAACTGTACATTCTTCCCCCCCTAGGGTTTATCCTTGACACAGGGGCCACAGGTGCTCCGCAAAAGTGCTCTGGGAGCTCAAAGATGGAAAGGCAAGCTAGGAGAGCTTCAAGGAGGTGGGGTTTGAATGGTAGACAGGCGGCTGGGCACGGTGGCTCGTGGTGGCTCGTGGTGGCTCACACCAGTAATCCTAGCACTTTGGGAGGCTGAGGCCGGAGGATCGCTTGAGGCCAGGAATTCGAGACCAGCCTGAGCACAAGCAAGACCCTGTCTCAGTAGTAAAATAGGAAAATTAGCCGGGCACGGTGGCGCATGCCTGTAGTCCCAGCTACT